CAGAGCCATGGTTACTTTGAGTTAGTGTGGTGATGGCTGGAATTTTCCAGTTACTTTTTCCTACCTATAGGAGTACCAGTCTGGCTCATAAATTTTCCATTCTCTTGCAGAATTAGGATTTTCTAAAGGAGAAAAGGATACAGTTTAAATATGAGCAAGTGTTTTTTAAACCTTAAAGTATATCTTGATTGAAATGTGCGGCTACCTAATAGAAGCTAAAAGAGGAATATATTGATGTGTTTAAAGGTATATGTCACCAAGCCCAATGATTGAAAGAAACTTCTGCCTTTCCTTCTGAACTGAGCCAGTTGTATCAGTTTGCCTATTTTATTGGGGGAGAGTGGGGTTAAAATATGTTTCTTCTAGTATTGAAACTCCAATTTTATCTAAATAATATGATACCTAAAGGAACAGAAACTGTGAACATTGTGTGATCTGTATTTTCCCTTATCTGGTTTTAGAAACAAATTCCCTTCATGATAGTAGTGAAGGCTATCATTCTGCCAGAGTTTTTCAAAAGCTTAAAGTGTGATGTTTATTTTTGGGGGTGGAGAGAGGAAGGGGTGAATTTCTGATTTCACCTGAGCAGTGAAATCGTTTAGAGCAATGATCATTGAACAAATTCTTTACCTCAAAGTACCTTCTGCCTAATGAGGAGAAGTATGAACAACATTCATGGCAAGGCATTACCACTTGTTCACACTTGCTTTTCGTGAAGCTGATGAATTTATTGCTTCGCTTTAACATATTTTATTTGATTTCCCTCATACATTGATCTGTTTTCCTCTTCTAGAAATTCTTTTTTTTTGCAAAATACTGAAAACGCTTGTTTTGTGAAGACCAGGTTTGCTTCTGTAAAATACATACTATGGGATCAAACTTTTAGCTTAGCATTAAATCATTAAAAACTCAGTTATGTAGCAAAGCCAATCATTTTCAGGGTTGGAACTATCCAAGTAAAACAGAAAATAAAATTTATTTGAAGTTGATCTACCAATACATATTTTGGCTTGTGCATTTTCTGCTCCTTTAAAATGCGTAACGTAAAATTGTTTGATTTGGATGGTTTTGCCTAAGTTATCACCAGGGAAAGGGCATGAGGAGGGAGGAGACCATGCCAAGCTTTTTTGCTGACTTGTCATTATGGGCAGAGCATTTTCAGACTCCCTGCCCGAGGCAGCCAGGGAAGAGGAGCAAATTGAGCGTTAGCACACCCTGCAGACAACAGGCATCTGGAAGCTTCCTAGCCTAAGGCAATAATACAGCCAAGCTCCCTACAGTCATACTCCATGGAAGAGTTATTCAAGTGGATTTTGCTTTCAAGATGCAAGACTGACTTTTGTGCCCATTTTTCATGTGGAATGAGAAATTCATGGTAAATAGTCCTTTTTTTTTTTTTTTTTTTTTTTTTTTTTTTTACCCCACCCTTCCACTGTTAAAATTCCTAACCCTTGCTTTATGAGATTCAAATGGGATAGAAGGAGAATTAATAATATTCACAAACAGTAGTTAATTCTACCCAGTGAAGACCTGGGTTAAAGACAGCAACTCCATAAAGTTTGTGTTGTTTTGTGATCTCTCAGTTCTTACTGAATGGTCAGTCCTAAACATGACACAGAAAGATTTCTCAAAGGCTGTGTCTTCAAATTACTTTTTTTTCTTTAATGTCCACCATTAAGGAGTAACGTTATTGTACATACAGCTCTAGATAGCAGCCTGTTTTAGAGATACCATCACTGTGTTGATCAGAGCAGGCACACACAATAAAAGGCTGATGAGAAAGTAGAGCTGCCCTGTGATACCTGTTCTGTGATCTACACCATGCCTGAATCTTTAGTGGACACCAGGAGTCTGGGTTTAAAGCAAACCAACAAACAAGTGAAGAATGCTCTTTTGTGCCAGGAAGGACCCAGGGATCTTTTTAGTGCAACATCTAGGGGTTTGGTTGTTTTGGTTTTTTTCTTTGTAACAATGATTAAGTATTGTGCTACTATAAACCAGCTGGCTGTTAATATATTTCAAGATGCCCACATTCATAGCTTAGGAGAGGGGGTACACCCATGTAGAGGCTGGATACCCATAAAGAGTGCTAGGAAATTGTGGATACCAGAAAAAAAACATTCTGAAACAATTTGATGTCAGAAGGTACACAACATGTAGAACTGTATTGAGTAGCTGGAGGCATGTAAAAATTCTGCATGGCTTAGTTACTTTATAGATACGGAATATCTGTAAAATTGCTGATTCTGGAAATGTTCTATAAGGTGAGAGATACTGTAAAAACATCTTTTTTTACAAATACTCTCTTTTATAGTCTTGAAATGTAGCCTAAAATATGCTTTCCTGATAGAATGTGTGATCCAGAAAGAAAAAGATGAGGGAAGGAGTTTTCACTTCTGGGTTTCGTATGAAAATTCACTGCCTCACAAATCTCTTCCTTATGTTCATGTTTTCTAGTGTAAAAGGAGGAATGAGTAATACTCCATATGGTAAACTGCAGTTAATTTATCTTCTTGGATATGATTTTACTAGTCCTTTAAAATTCTTTCTAAAGCCAGATTCAGCATTAGGAACTTGTTTAAGTTTTTCTTAAGAAGTTGATAGAAGATAATGTTCCTGCCCAATACAGAGGGTGGTATTGGATTCTCTTTGTCATTTAAAAATCCCATTGAAATGACGTTGATGTCTTGTGTGGTGTCTGCCATCCAAGTGTTCCTTTGTCCCTGACCTCTTGCTCTGACACAAATAAAACGAACCGATTTGTCATTTTTACATAAGGCGTTTCTTTATGAAATGAGTTTTCACCAGGATTTTTCCATTACCATATAGTTACACTCTTGGAAATACCTAGTACAGATGAACTGCTCTGACATAAAAAAACCATCGCTTTTGCCAGCTTGAGGCTGAGGATGTAGTTGTGCAGATGCAATAGCTGTTATCAAAAAGGCTGGTTCCATCTCCCCTCACCGCACCCTGTGCTGTGAGCCTGTGAGAAGGTTAGTGCCGTGAAAAACAATTCATTTTCAGCTGTGTCAACTGGATCACTGCGTCACTGCTTAAGCACCGGTGCCAGTGCAAGAGCAAGGCGTGGAGTGGACTAGTCCTTCTAGAACAGCAAGCCATTTTCTCAAAGCAGTTGTAAAGAGCATAGCCCCAAGACCTGTCTTTAAGCAGAAGATGTGGTCCTGTGCACAGAGCATGCCTGCACAGATGACAGCGCTCTCAGTTGTTTGAGTTGGCCAGGTGTACGCAATTCCAATGCAGCAGCCATGTATGTACCTGCCTTATTGTGCTGCTTCTATCCCAACTGCAGGTTGTGGGCTGTATTTTGTATGCAACATCAAAATACTTCAGTGTTAGGGCTGCCCCTGTGTTATATTCATTTCAGTGGTCTGTGGCAGGTATATGCGTGTGTGTGTCTTCACATCAGAAAAAACGGGGAATAAAATTCAAGAAGTTGTCACTGATGCTGTTAGCATTTTATTACTCAACATGTGAGAGAGAAGCCTACCAGAGTTGGCCAAAGATGGCTTGCGTGTAGACTTTGAGTAGCGTGTCACAATTCCAGCAGCTTGGGGTCTCTCAACAGCTTGAAAAAGCCACCTGTGAAAGAAAACAGCTCCCAGCTTCTGGCTCTCACTGAGGTATGAATTTAATGTGAGAAAACGCTGGCAAGGTCACCAGAGGCATCATGTCTGCTCAAGAAGAGGTATTTTTTTTATTGCTGCAGTTAACCTATGATTGTAATTGGAAGAGACAACCTGGTGTGTTGTTTTCTGAAGGAGTATGTGTTGCTGGGTCAGCAATAGTTTTTAACAAATATAGTGTTATTTCAGTTGTATTGTGGGATAAGGATACAGTTGTGAGGGTCAGGATGTAAAACTGACTGAATTATAATATTTTTTTGCTGTATATGTTTCCTGCATAGCCGTCAAATCTGCTGACAGTTCATTTTGTAAATAAACTGTACTTGTCCCTTTGCATTTATGAAAGAAATGGGTAATAACAATCTGTGTAGGTGTCGAAATGGAAGATGTGAAAATACGAGGAGAGGCAGCCAAGAAATGCTTTTGTCAAATGGAAATTTCCAAACTTCTAGAGCCAATGGTTCCATTATACGAGACTGACAGGCATCAAAGTGATTGACAATCTGCGTATAAGCACTGGGTGGTAGATGTAAATTCTTGATCAGATGGGGTGCTAAAATTCCATCTGGTAAATTGAATAATGATATAACCTACTACCTAAATAACCTTGTTCTTAGAGTACTTATTTTGGCCAATTCACCTGTTAAAATACCTGACTATGTGCATTAAAACACATTCTAAAAAGTAAATATTGGTGGGGGTTTTTTTTCAAATTTCAATTTCAGCCATTTCCTAGAAGAAAATACCTTAAATAGTTCATTCATGTTTACCCATCATACAGAATTCTTTTTTTTATTTAAAAAGGCCAAATTGCTTTAATCTACAGAGAAAGCCAATTGCAGTTACTCTTCGTCTGTTCCACTTCCTTACCTAATTGCATTTGTAGTGTTGTTGAAGTTGTCGTAAATTATTGCTGCTACCTCAGCAATCTGTCTCAATTGTGACGCTCATTTATTTTATAAGAAACTTAGCACTGAGATGGGAAAAAGTGACTAAAACACTAAGTAAAGGAAACAGTACTTAATCTTGTGTTCAGATTTATTTACTTTTTTTGTTATTTGTAGGTAGACTGGTTCTAAAATCAATGAATTTTATCATAATTTTTACTCTGAATAATTTTTATATGCAAGTATCCTTTTAACTGCTTTTTCTTCCTTAGTATTCTTTTTTTAAATAAGTTGGCGTTTTTGAGATCATTTGGTGGAGGATGTTTGAATGATGTAAAAGATTTTACACAGCTAGGAATCTTAAGTACCAGATGATGACATTTGGTAACACTACTATAATTGTTATAAATTGCGACCACAACGGATCATAATCCAATTAAAATTTTATTAATTATAGCAAGTAGAATATGAGCAAAAGCAGCGCTGGACGGCAGGGGAGTCTGCGCTCCGCCAACTGCCGTACTGAGCAGTTCAAACAGTCTCCTTTTATACATCTCTACTTCCACGTTCAATGAAGTAGTGGAGGTACTCTGCGCATGCCTCAGTTGTTGTTAGGGGGTCGTTTTCTGCCTCCTGGTGGTCGTTGAGGCCGAAGTAAGAAGTCTTCCTCCTTTGTCCCATAGTTGACCCCTCACTCATATGTCCTTATATGGGGTTGTCTGTCCTGTTCTTGTCGGTTCTTGAACATCTGGCGGTTATCTTGCACAAACGGTATCTGGTTCAGTTTGTGTAAGCAGTTTCATATCCTCTGTTGCCTAACCTTTACATTGAGCAAATCTTAATAATTGAGCTTAACATAGATCTTAATAATTGAGCTTAACATAAATCTTAATAAACAATACCCTAGTCCATAGTTTCTCACAATAATGTTACTAACTTTTTCTGTGTGCATTCTGAACTAACTGAAAGGTACTCTAGTATCTGGGGCTCCTGCCAGTTGTGATGATGCATGTAACAACAGATCAAGAGAAAGCAAACCAAAACTGTATTTGAAAGAGGGTTCATTTTGGGGGGCATTTTTTATATGAATCTGACTAATCACCTCTTCCCTAACCTTGGACATTTTCCTTTAGACCACTGCCTCTGCTTTCACTCTTCCATTTTGTGCCTAGTCACAGAGGGAGGGCACCGATCTCTGGTTCCCAGCCAAAATTTGGCTCTGCCCGTTTCCACGACATATTTCTCAGCCCTTTTGTTGTTGCATAAAAATGCTTTTTGATCATATGCATCAAAGCAAGGAACTAATGCCCTAGACTAATAGCATTAAATAGCATGGAAGATAGATTCAACACTGTAAAGGGCTGGTTTTGCTAATTGCTGACAGGTATTCTTAGCACCAACAATTAGGTGTAGACAATCACTTAACTCTGACAATCTGAAGTTAATTAAGTTAAACTTGCCGTAGGAGCGTAAGAGACGTTGCCATAGATCAGACATTGCGGTAGATCAGACGGTGGGTCCATCTGGCCTGGCGTTCTCTCCCTGGTAAGGACTTGTGCTGACGTTTAAAAGGAAGGTGTGAGAGGAATTAACACCATGTGAAAGTGTAATACTCCTTGGTATTTTTTTGTGGATAATATTATAATGATGATTTTTCTGAGAAGCAGTATTTGCTGAAGTGTTGAGGCCTGCCTAATTTTTAGAAGCTAACAAGATGAATAGTAGGGAGTGATGAATTTAAAACCAGAGAAAAGAGAGGAAGTGTGGCCTCTCTGCAGTTACATCAGTTCTCAGGGTTTGCCACAAGCCTGATTGGTGTCCACACCTCTAGATTAAAATATGTTGTATCTCTACCAGGATCTTTAATCTGAAATATGAGCAAATGAACATTAAATACAAACGTGAGCATTAAGTGTGGATGTTTCAAGAAAACTAGGTAGGGTTTTTTTTTAAAGGCTGTGCTTGTGCAGAGAAAAGCTTGAGATAATTTCTGATCTACTTGTGATCGCAAACAAATCTCAAACCAATTTTATTTGTTGCTAATATTTCAGTCTTTTGGAGCTTTCTGAAACAACTTGCTGCTATTCTTCTACGGCAATAATATTATTATTTTTCTGAAATGATCAGCTCCTGAAGCTGAATGTGGATGGGCTGAAAGAAACAAGAGAGCTGAGCGAGGCTGAGCTGCGCCCTCGGACCTTGGAGATGACAGCTGACACGCTCAGCGTTCCAGTTCAGTGCCACGCTTTATACCCCATGTGTCTCTGTACTTGAACTTTACGTCATAAGCAATGAATTATTTTAATGGAGTTTGTACTCTTTTGTCTGAGATGAATGCAGGCCCACACATGGTGTAAGCTTCAATTAATTGTCCTCTGGGGTCTGGTGCGCATATTTGCATATGCTCAATCAGTGGACCACCAAGATTATTCAATTAAATCCTTACCATGGCTTTAAGAAGGCCAGTGATTAAAGCGTTAGTGATGACTGTTCATTTATAAAAGAAATATTTTTACAGATTTCAGTGTCTACTCTTATTTCTTGCAAAATAGGATCTGTTGTGAGGGAAAGCCTGAAATACAGGATGTGTCTGAATTGGTACCACAATTAAAACTGATACACAAGTGGATGCACCAACATTTCAGCTGCTTTCTTCTGTCAGACTGTTAAAAGAAATATTTCTAAGCATTTCCCAGATGATAATGTATTTACTTTGCAGAAGCTTCCCAGACCAATTTCCCCTGTCAGCAGACTGAAGAAGTGTCTAAGTATGACCTAGTGTATTCTGATACAAATGCTTGATAAGCACGGCTTGCTTTTAAAAGTTCTACTGAGTTATTAATAGAAGTGTGGTGTTGTTTAAGAAAAATGGCTGTTTACTAGAGATGTCATTGTGGAAATATGCCAGCTCCTAAGGCATTGGGAAAGTGACCAAGAAATCATGGAAGTCATGTAGCTATCTGAAGACAGTGTTGTTACACTTCTGTGTAACCTTGGCTAAGATTAAAAAAGGGATTTCCTTCATAGGCAGCTAATGCTGTGATTCACGTAATCTTAAAAAACAAATAAACAAAGAAACCAAACCAGAGTAATCATAAATAATAGCAGATGGGATAAGGGAAAAATATCCCTAGAAATCTGGCCAAAGGTAGAAAACTTTTAAGAGAAATAAGGTACTTAATTACTTCTGTTAATGCATATCAGATTTTAATCCTGATGCGCTTAGCTAGATTTGGAAAGCAACACAATGTGATTTCACAAAATGTCTCTTGAAAATCTGCTGTTGAATTTGAGGTAGTAATTGACTGAAATTATATATTTTTTAATATTTTTATATATATATATATTGCATTTGTAACCCAATAAAATTAAGTAGCTTTACTTCTTTGCAGCTCTACAGCAGGAGTTGGAATGAGCAATTGACTTTTGCTGTAACTCCTGCAATTCTTCTTTAAAGGCTGTCACTGCTCTAAGTAGTTTGAGACTAAACTAAACAAGATTGTGTTGTATGATGCAAGAGTAAAAAAAAAAAACCATGAAGCAAGTCATATCTTTTAACAAACCAGCAAGCAGTCTTGAGTGAAGATATTTGACAGCTGAGATCCAAGACCAACTATGAAAGCAAAGTGGAATGTGAGTTTTAAGAGAATGAGAATCCACAGAATTGGGGTTATTTCAGTAATAGGTAATTGTACACTGTTATTGAAAAGTGGAAAGTAGGGAGAGGAAGAAGGCGTAGCAGTGGGAGCACTGAAATCATTGCACAAAAAGAGTGGAAACTTGGGTCTGGTACTACAGGCACAGCTAATCATTTTGTGGTCCTCTGGTTTGTTAACTGGGAGAGAGAGAGAGGCAGAGACAAGGCTTTTAAGGGCTAAATATTGAAAATGGAAGAGTTGTGCAGTAGATGACGAACGTATACTCATAGTGTGCTCTCTTGTCTACACCTTAAGCAAAAAAAAACCCAAACAAAAAACAAACCCAAAAACCACCACCCCCACCCAAAGAAAACCCCCCAGAACAACACCTGCAAGAAATGTGATACATACTGTATATGGGGCAAAACAGATCATTAGTAAGAGAGCTATAAATAGGAGGCAAATATAGCAATTTACTGAATACTTAGGTTTTGTGAAGGGGAATTGCTACCTGTTCTGAAATGCTTGTTCTGTATTAGGAATGCTCCAAACTGGTTGAATGAACTGAGGTGAGTAAGCGCTTGTAGGATTTATTGTTCTTGTTAGCAAATACACAACTGGTTCTGAATCAAACACAAAGTTTTCTTTTTTTTTTTTTCCTATGTCTTCTGATTACCAAATCCACTGAGATCCCTTTTGAACTGAAAGTGGAGAGGGGGCTGAATTGAGTGACAGGACAGTCAAGGTTGTCAGTGCTCAAGAGGCGCAGAAAAGTGACAGTGATGTAGGCTCTCCAAGCCGAATGGAAATTAAGACATTGCAGCACAGCTTTGACTTTTTTCAGGGTATGCTAATTGGAGACATCTTGAGCTCTTGAAACCATGTGAGCTTGCAGAGAAGCCTGACCTAAGTCAGACTTCAGTTGGAAATACTTTTGACAGCAAGACTGGTTTTTTGAATAGGCCATATATTAATGTATTTTAAAATATTTGTACATGTATGTAGGTATTAAGCTGCTTAATTTGTCTGCATTCACTTTTCTCATAGTTATCTTTAGCAATTCTTTTTCAAAACATAATTATTGAAAAACGTAAAAATTGGTAAAAGGAACTGTTATTAGAGTAGGTTTCTCTTGCATAATGTCTCTAGATTTCATACAGTGAAATGGAAGCATAAGTGCAGATTGCCTTATGAGTTCATACTTCTGTTACACTTGCTCAAGAGCACATTTCACTTATGCTTCTAACACTGTAATAAATCACAAAAGCCAAGGTTTGCAGAACTGAGCTTAGTGGTATGCATTGGAGATAATTTTCTGTCTAGTGAGCTTTGGAAACATTTAAAGTTCGTATGCAGCTATCAAAGCATTTGCTAAAAGTTTTTACTGAAATTGATGCTTAGAGGTGTGGAGGGTGACTAAGACAACTGAATTCTCTCTGATTTACTTGGTGTGAAGAATTGCTCCGGGTAGTGCGGTACAATCGTGATCATGCAGTTACACAGCCTAAGTGCATTTGTCCCTTGTGAATTCAAGTCAGGTTTGTTTCTGGTTCTGAAAACCTTCAACATCATATGTGTAAGAAAATATCAATTAATGGTTCCTATAATTAACCCATCTTACTGAAATGCAGCAATTTATTAGTCTGCTAATCCGAGTGGCCTAGCTTCAGCAGCGAAGAAAGCTTGTTCTTTGTATCGGAACAGCTGTTGACTGTGTTTTTTTGTTGCCCTCTCCACAAGTTAGCTTTTACCTCTTTCATCCTCTCTACCTCTTCAGGAGAGGCTGCAGTGCCCCTCCTGCATCGGGGAAGCGAGCTTTTGGGCGGCATTAGCTGGTCAGACATCTGCTGTCAGTCTTCAACGGGAAGAGGCAGCCAGACTGGA